CCCCCCTTCATGCTCTGTCTCTCTCTGTCCCAAAAATAAATAAAAAACGTTGAAAAAAAATTAAAAAATATATATATATATACATATCAAATCATCATGCTGTATTCTTTAAAATCCTATAACAAAAAATGAAGAAGATATTTAGATACTATCGGGCAAATAAGGCTGACATGGTTCATTACCAGTAGACCTGCCACACAGGAAATGCTTAAGGCAACCCTTGAAGTACAAATATAGGGGCAGCATATCAAAGTCATACAAAAAATAACTTTGATAAAGATAACCGAATAGGCAATACAAAATTCAGTATTATTTAGCGTATTTGGTTTTTAACTCCTCTTTTTATTTACTATATTGTTTTTTTAATTTTTTTTAATGTTTGTTTATTTTTGAAGGAGAGAGAGAAAGACAAAGCGTGAATCGGGAGGGGGCAGAGAGAGACACAGAATCCAAAGCAGGCTCCAGGCTCTGAGCTGTCAGCACAAAGCACAGCCGGATGTGGGGCTCAAATTCACAAGCCATGAGACCATGACATGAGCCACAGTCATATGCTTAACCAACTGAGCCAGGTATCGCTTATTTACTATATTATTAAACAAACAAGGTATACTCACGAATCTATGTTAATGACCACACAGTGTATAAAAATGTAATCTGTGGCAGTAACAAATAAAGGTGGTGCTGAACAACAACTGAGTTTTGAATGCTACTAAAGCTAAGTTGGTATCAATTAACAAAATACTTTAAATTTAGAATATTGATTTTATCTCCATCCTAATTTTCCTACTTAGAAAATATCCACAAAATATATAAAAGAAGAAGTTTGGGGGAAAAATTACCACTAAAAATGAAGAGAAGAACAAAAAATGTAATGAAAATGAGGAACAGGAAGTTATAAAATATAGAGAAAACAAATGGCAAAATGTCACCTGTCTCACCTCGTAAGACCTTTAATATAAATGCAATAAAAAACACTGCAATCAAAAAGCAAATACTGTCAGAATGGTTAAAGAAAACAAACAAATCACAACCCAACTATATCCTGGTTATAAGAGACTTTTTAAATTTAAAAACACAAATAGGTTGAAAATTAAGGATATAAAATACATTCTGTTCAATACCACATCAAGGAGTGCTGGGTTACTATGGTAATACAACACAAAACAGATTTTAAACAATAAAAGCAACAAAACTATTACAAGATACAAAAGAAATTATATTTAGATAAAACTGTTAATTCAAGAAGATATAACTGTTGTAAACATATACGCACTAAACAACATCAAACTAAGCAAATTGAAGGAGGCAATGGACAGTTCTACAAACAATAGCTGGAGATTTTAAATCTCACTTTAAATAATGTATGGGAAATTTAAACAGATATCAATACGGAAATAAAGAATTTTAACACTATAAACCAACTAGATCTAACAGATATATACAGTGATTTCTTTTCACAACAGCAGGATACACATTCTTCCCAAGTGCACATGGAATATTCACAAGGATAGCCTAGCTTTACAACTTAGAGAAATAAAAGATAAAAGTAAATGAAACCCCAAATCAGAAAATAGAAGGAAATAGTAAAGATTAGAATGGAGAAAATAAAATATAAAATCTAGAACTTATAAAACTCAACACCCAAAAAGTAAAATATCCAATTAAAAATGTGCAGAAGAGAGGAACAGACATTTTTCTAAAGAAGATAAAACGATGGTTAACAGACATATAAAAAGTTGCTCAACATCACTCATCATCATGGAAATACAAATACAAATCAAAACTATAATGAGAAATCATTTCACACTTGTCAGAATGGCTAAAATTAATAAATCAGGAAACAACAGGTGTTTAGCAGGGATATGGAGAAAGGGGAACCCTCCTGCACTGTTGGTGGGAATGCAAACTGGTGCAAACTGGAAAACAGTATGAGGTTTCTTAAAAAGTTAAAAGCAGAATCCCACAATCTAGCAATTGTACTACTAGGTATTTACCCAAAGAATACAAAAATACTATTTAAAAGGGCACATGTTGGGGCCCCTGGGTGGCGCAGTCGGTTAAGCGTCCGACTTCAGCCAGGTCACGATCTCGCGGTCTGTGAGTTCGAGCCCCGCGTCAGGCTCTGGGCTGATGGCTCAGAGCCTGGAGCCTGCTTCCGATTCTGTGACTCCCTCTCTCTCTGCCCCTCCCCCCTTCATGCTCTGTCTCTCTCTGTCCCAAAAATAAATAAACATTGAAAAAAAATTTTTTTTTAAATAAATAAATAAAAAATAAAAGGGCACATGCACATTTATGTTTATAGCAGTAATATCAACAATAGCCAAACTATGGAAACTCCTTCCTACTTTGGTTTTTGCTGCTGTCACCATGATAAGGGCTTCTGTTAGCTCTGCTTACAATAGACAGGCATAACTGCTTTTAGCAAGACATACACAGCTATCGGCTGGTTGAGGATAGTGCACTGATGAGGGAAGGGAGGAACATTATACAATATTTGAGGGGTGGGTCAAGGAATGCAAATTAGAATTTAACTTTGCCATTGTGTTGATTCACAGATGACAAAGAAAATTAAAAAGCTGGAAAAAGAAATGATAATGTGGCGTATCAAATGGGAAAATAATAATAAAGTACTTCCACAAATGGCCGAAGAGGTGAGAAGGTTTCACATGAATGAATAGTAAATGCTCATTTATTTCAGTACTAGGGAAGGCTGGAACTTCTGGTTTGCTGAGTAACTACAGATTTACTTATGTGGTCTCTTTCCTGTGGTAAATTAGGTTCTCTTAGGTGAGGTATCAAACTTCTTTCCCAATTAATTAGCTCAGAGTTGTGCTGTGGACACCTATAAATTGGAGTAAGTAGATTTTGCTGTCCACTATAGCAAACTTAGCTTATACAGACTAAGGCTTGTTAAACAGGATACTGTTCCCCATCATAGCTTTTGATTCATTACATCTGAGGTGTGGCCTGAAATTTTGCCTTTCTAAATGTGTCCAGGGAACATGCACATTTATGTTTATAGCAGTAATATCAACAATAGCCAAATTATGGAGAAATATTATACAATAGACTGCATTTCTTTATCATTCATCAGTCAGTGGACACTTGTGCTGACACCTCAAAGCCTGGAGCCTGTTTTGGATTCTCTGTCTCCCCCTCTCGCTGCTCCCTCACCTGTTTGCACCTCTGCCTCTCTCAAAAATAAATAAACACTAATGTCTTATCGTGATGCTGAAGTTCCCTGCAAAGAGACTCTAGTTTGCTTCTTGCCAAGATGGCCTTGCTGTGTTCACTCTGCAAGTGAACTTTCTCTTTGATGATCTGGGCTTGTTTCTTCTGCAGAACCTTCATTTGCTTCTGAACATTCCTGCTCTCCTCCAGCTAAAATTAACAAGTAGTTTATACAGTTAGAAAATAAAGTAAGAACCTCGGAGTTACAGTTGGCAGAACTGGAATTAGTCATGGAAACTTTTCTACTACTCTCTTATTCGGCTGAGATATAAAATGGCATGCAAATAATTTTAGTGTATTTAGAAAACGAACCTCGATGTCTTTTTTTAAATTAAAAACAAAATAGATCTTTGAGGCAAACTTCTTATGAATGAACACCATCTGGTCTTACTTTTCTACAAGAAATGGAAAAACTACAAGAAATGAAACAAAGAAGCAGCTCTTTGTGAAAAGAAGGCAATTTATTCTATTGTACGAGAACAGATAAAATGACAGTCTTGCGGACACTTCAATAAAGCTCTCATAAAGAAAAAAATGTTGACGAGTCACACATTTCAAGATCAAGAGCAAGAGCGACTTATCCAGGAGACTTGTCAAACACTCTTACAGGCCACACGTTTACAGCTACTAAAAACACCTTCACTGAAATTTCTGCTGGAAAAGAATAATTTTTCTTTGAATCTTACTACGGACTATGAGTACAGCATAATTCAACTGGCTATATAGGTGCTACACAAATTATCTGCAACCCAACTGGTTTCCTGCCCACTCCCCATTCTTTCCTGCTGCTCATGTATCAGAAGCTGAGTAAAAACATTATTATGTCTATTGGAATTGAATTCTTTCATGGTAATACTAATAACAAATTACTGGTGATGCAGCTCAGACGTGACTACCTTAGGCACCAATGATGACATATTACACTGAACTGACTAGGTACGAGACACTGAGCTGATAAATATTGATGATAAAAAAAAAAAATGAACAAAAAGGAGCCCGAGAAGATAGGCACCATTGCAATTAATTGATATATTTGACATGGAGACACAGAAAGCCTGATGGCTTCTCTTTCCTCTACAAAAAAAGGCACAGTTGCAAATAATTTAGTTGCACTTTGCATAGTGCAAGAAAATTATTTGCAACTCCTGTGGAGAAGGAGGGCAGGTAGAAAGAAGCTGAGGGTTTATACAGCCAATGGAAAAAAGTATCTAATATGTGGAGTTTTTATAATAGTGTAGTGATTGTAGACAGAGAGGTATTAAAATGGCCATGAAGACCTAGCTGTGATTTCATCTGCCTGGCTGTATTTTTGGACACCTTGAGTGGGTTTTTGTCTGGCAGGTGAAAATGGATGGACAAAGTGGAGCATGTACATTTCCAGAAACACTGATTTTTATGGTATATGAAATCTAAGGGAAAAAACAGACACAAAGACTGAAGGTAGTACAGACAAGGTGAAAGTAGAAGCTCAATGTACTGCTTGCTGCAATGGTTACAGAGAGAACAAATATAGTGGGAATCCTTCAAAAAGTATTGGCTGGACTGACTGGTGATACTCAGAATCTGAATGGAGTATCTGTACTTGTGGCTTTTGATGTCCTCTGTACATAAGGTAGCCAAAGCAGAGGGTGGCCAAGGGGGTACAGAGATGAGATAGGTAATCAAGGACAAGGGTCACGGAACAAGAGACTGAAGTGACATCACAGAAAGCTGTTCCCACTCCTACAACTTCATTATTTTGGAACTCTGGAATCTATTCAAAGTCCTGCACCCTCCAAGGGCATGCTGAGCCAGTAAACAGTGGTTAATTTTGGTTAATTTAAGCCAATAGTGCAGGAGCAGATATTCACTCTTCACTCCACTCCCATGCTCCTGTGGCAGGCAGCTATACTATCACATGTTCCTGCAGTGGCTTACAGGAGCCAGGTAAGCAGTAAGGTCTCAGTCTTTCAAAAATATCAAAGATATGTGTTTGACTGCGATTGACACATCTGATCACAAAGGTGCACACAGAGTGGTGGCCACCATCATTGCAGATGCCTCCCACCGTATGAAGTGGCACACAGGGTATGTAGGGAAACAGACCCTACTTAATTATTATTTCCCTCATTTCACTTATCCTCTTTTCTTCTTTGGAGGGGAAGGCATACACTGAAGTACTATGACATTCAAAAACAACCATATATCTGTGGAAATTTAGAAAGTCACCCATGCAAGCCTAGAATGAAAGACACCCAGGGAAGACCTTAAGTTTGCATTTCATTCTAATCTCTGACAGACCTTGTACAACACTAGCCAAACAAGGAAAGGCAAAGAACAAAACCTAGGTAAACTAGAGAGAATCTAATATTCAAGTTACCATGTCATAATATTTAAATATCTAGTTTTCAACAACAACAGCAGCAGCAGCAACAACAACAACAACAGCAACAAATCATAAGGCGTACAAAGAAGTAGGACAGTATGGCCAATTCAAAGGAAAAACGTAAGTCAACAGAAACTGTCCCAGACGAAGATCAGATGATAGAAATACCAAACACATTAAAATAACACCTTTAGCTCTTTACACTGCCCAAAGAGCTAAAGGATGATGAGGATAAAGCCAGGAAAACAATGTAGGAATTAAAAGGAAAAAAAGTCCACAACGAGGGACCATAAAGAGGAACTAAAATAAAAATATGGAATTGAAAAGTACAAAACTGAAGTGAGCAATTCACTACAAAGATTTAAAATCAGATATGAACAGACAAAAGAAAGAAATCAGTAAACTGGAAGACACGTCAATGTAAATTCTCAACTCCAGGGAATGAAAAAAAAAAATGAGGAAAAACCTAAGAGCATAAAGGACCTTTGGGACACCACCAAGTGGAGCAACATATGCACCGTGGGAATCAAAGAAGAGGGATGGGCAGAGAAATTATTGGAAAAAATAATGGCACAAACTTCCCCAAATTTGATGCAACATATGAATGCCAAAAAGCTGGCTGAACACCAGGAAGGATAAACAGACACCCACACTGAGGCACATTATAATAAAAACTGCCCAGTGCCAATGACAAAGAGGAAACCTTGAAAGCAGCAAGAGGGAGAGTGACTCATCACCTATGAAGCAATCTCCAGAAGATTATCAGCTAATTTCTCAGCAGAAGCCAGAAGTCAGTGGCCTTTAAAGTGCTGATGTGTTGGAGGGAGACAATCCCTCCTGTATCTGACAAAACTGTCCCTTCAAAACTGACGGAGAAATGAAGACATTCACAGATTCAGCTCTTGTGGAAGAGCTGAGGGGCGTGGTGACCACATTCTTGAGTGCTGGTATCTCCTAGAGGGGAGTGTGTAAACATATATGCTGCTCCTGTTTTTACTTCTTATACTTTGGTTTGTTGTGACTGTTGCCCGGGGGAGGGAGGACACCCCTTCATTGCCTGGCTCTAGTGGCCAGTGGGGACTATACTCATAGATCCCACAGGACTGTTACAAATGGAGAACCATCCATGTGGGCTGAGCCAACACACACCAAGCACAGTGAAGAAATGGCAGACTGAAATGTAACCCAGTCTTTCTGTGGAAGAGGCCTATTAGCATATCTTCAAAAGGCAGGCTTCTAAATTAAGCACACATCTAGGAGCCAACTACAAATCCTCTATACAAGGCAGGAAGAGGAGGCACCATCTTCACACTCTACGTCTACCACGTCCCAGGAGATCAGCGTCTTCAAGGAAGGAGACTGTGTATATGTCTAGCACCACTGATTGCCAAGATGACACATCCCTGGAATGCTTGACTCTTGTGGCCAGCCAAGTTTGTGTTCACAGGTTCACAAAACAGTAACAGATGAAGAAACAGTTCTTAACTGTCTATCACCCAAGGGATTAGTGCACAGAGACCGGACTGAAGGTTTATCCCTTAGCCTTCCTCTGAAAGAGTGTTATCTGCATACTTTGAAAGCTGCTGCCTTTGTAGCATCTGGCTTACAATCAGCCTGAATCTCAGCGATGGACTGTTCCCTTTGGGAAACTGACACACACTCAGCTTCTGAGAGCCACTAAAAATAAAGTAGGTTCTGTGAACAGTCACAGCAGTTTCAGATAAAATCAAGAGCTAAGGCAAGGTTTATCTCCTACACAAGGCCACTGCTTTGGGACTGAGATGGATGGCTGTTTCATCTAATACATAGAAACAAGGGCAGAAATTCAAGCAAAATAACAAAATGGAGGAATATGTTCCAAAGTTAAGACAAAGACAAAACCTCGGATGAAAACCCTACTGACACAGAAGTAAGTGATTTACCTGATAAAAGGCAGTTCAAATTAACAGTCCTAAAGACGCTCACCAAGCCTGGGAGAAGAACAGATGAACAAAGTGTGAATTATAATAAAGTAATAGAAAATACAAATTAATATTCAAATAGAAGTCATAGAAGGATATACACGAACTGAACTGCAATATATGCAAGAGAGGCTTGCGCAGCAGATTAGATGAAGCACAAAAAGGAATCAGTGAAGTGGAAGACAAGGCAGTGGAACTCACCCAATCAGAGAAGCAAAAAGAAAACAGAATTAGAAACAGCTTTAAGGCACACCAAGCTCACCAACACTCACATAATAAAGGTCCCAGAGGAGAAGATATTGAGAAAGGGGCAGAAAACATATTGAAGAAACAACAGCTCCAAACTTCCCAAACCTGGGGAAGGATGCAGACACCCAGATAAAGAAAGCCTGCAGTGTTCCAAGTAACAATTCAAAGAGACCCATCCGATAAACATAGATAAACTTTCAATTTAAAGACAAGGAAAGAGTCTAAAAGCAACAAGAGAAAAAACAAAGAAACAAACAAACACACCCTGTATGTACAAGGGAATCCCCATGAAACGATCAGCAGACATTTCAGCAGAAACTGTGTGTAGGCTAGAGCGAAGCGGCACAATGTATTTGCAAAGTAATGAGAGAGGAAAAACAAATTCACAATAGTGTGGAGATTAAACATCACAAAGTGAAAAACCAATGGAAATCTAAAGAAATAAAAATAGAAATCTAAAGAAATAAAAAAAAATCTTCTGACAAATTAAAGTGGATAAACAACATACCAAAATTTGATGCAGCAAAAACATTCCTAATAGGGAAATTCATAGTAATAAATACCTATACCAAGACACAGAGCCCAAATGAACCACCTACTTTATACCTCAAGGAACTAGGGAAAAAAGGAATAAACAAAGCCCAAAGTTAGTAGAAGGAAGGAAATAACGCAGATCAGAGTGGACTAAAAGGAATAGAGACTACAAAGGCAGTAGAAAAGATTAGGGACAGCTAATGTTCTTAAAAAAAAAAAAAAGGCAAATTTAGCTACACTAACCAAGTACACTACAGAACTCAAATAAAATCAGAAACGAAGGAGACATTACAACACATACCACAGAATACAAAGGATTATGAGACTATCATGCACAATTGTAGAGCAAAAGAATAGGTCAACCTAGCAGAAATGGATAAATTCCTAGAAAAGATAACCCACGAGCTTATCTGATAAAGGAACAGAAAATATGAAAACACAAATTTCAAGTAATAAGATTGACTCGGTTATTAACAATTTCTCCACAAACTAAACTCTAGGACCCATGGCTTCAACGCTGAATTCAATCCAAATTTTAGAAAATTAACACTATACCTCAATCTCTTTCAAAAAAAAAAAACCCCAAAAACTGATGAGGGAACATTTCCAATCTCATTTTCATGAGGCAAAGTCTTACTGTGACAGCAAAACTAGACAAGGACACAACAGGGAAGGAAATCACAGGCCAATATCCCTGAGGAACAGAGATGCAAAACTCCTCAAGAAAATATTAACAAACCAAATTCAACGATACAATCAACGAAACATATACTATGATCAAGTGGGATTTATTCCAAGAATACAAGGATGGTTCGACATTCACAAATCAAAGCTACACTACGATAATAAAATAAAGGATAAAAGTCGTGTGATCATCACAATAAATGCAGAAACATCAACATCCATTTATGAGATAAACACTCCTGACAAAGTGGTTTGCAGGAAAGACACCTCATTACGATGAAGACCATATATGACAAGCCCACACCTAACACCATAGCCCAAGGTGGAAAGCTGACAGCTATTCCTCTAAGATCTGGAAAAAGACAAGGATGCCCACTCTCACCACTTTTAACTCTACAGACTATCAGAAATCCTGGACAAGCAATTAGACAAGAAAACAAATAATAATAAAATAATCCAAATTGGAAAGGAAAAAGTAAGGATCTCGAATTATAGATGACATTATATCATATGTATAGAGAAGCCTAATGAGTCCACCAGCAAATTTCTAGCACTAATACCTGAATCAGTAAAGTTACAAACTGTGAAATTAGTATACCAAAATCAGCGGCGTTTCTCTCTATCCAAGGAGGAATTGGGAAAACAATCCCTTTTACAGTTACACTGAAAATAATAAAATATCTCAGAATAAATTTAAACAAGGAGATGAAAGACCTGCACTGAAAACTATAAGACACCAATGGAAAAAAAAATGAGTAAGATACAAATAAATGGAAAGAGATTCCATGCTCATGAGGGTAGAAGAATTAACATTTTTAAAAATTATGTTTATTTATTGAAAAAAAATTAAAAAAAAAAAAAAGGGGGCACCTGGGTGGCGCAGTCGGTTAAGCGTCCGACTTCAGCCAGGTCACGATCTCGCGGTCCCTGAGTTCGAGCCCCGCGTCAGGCTCTGGGCTGATGGCTCAGAACCTGGAGCCTGTTTCCGATTCTGTGTCTCCCTCTCTCTCTGCCCCTCCCCCATTCATGCTCTGTCTCTCTCTGTCCCAAAAATAAATAAACGTTGAAAAAAAAATTAAAAAAAAATTATGTTTATTTATTTTTGTGTGTGAGAGGGAGAGAGACAGGGCGTGAGCAGGGGATGGGGCAGAGGGAGAGGGAGGCACAGATTCTGAAGCAGGCTCCAGGCTCCGAGCTGTGAGCACAGAGCTGGACACGGGGCTCAAACTCACACACACCGCGAGATCATGACCTGAGCTGCAGTCAGATGCTTAACCGACTGAGCCACCCCGGTGCCCCAAGAATGAACATTTTTAGGATGTTCATACTAGTCAAGGCAATCTACCAAGTCATGCGATCCCCATCCAAATTCCAGTGGAACAACAACAGAAACAGTACAAGCCTAAAATACACACAGAACCAGAGAACCACTATGGTGATTACTTTCGAGGTTTCTCAGAAAATGAAAGGTAGTAGAACTTCCATATTCCACTTGTAAGTCTTTGGGGAAGGAGATGAACATTCAAACTAAAGAATATATGTGCCCTAAAGCATTATTTACATTAGCTAACAAAGGGAAACACTAAGCATCCACCAAATCATGAATGGATAAAAAAGTCTCACACACACACACACACACACACACACACACACACACACACACACACCCCCAATGAGAGAGGGCAGGCATATTATTCAGATATAAAAATGTAAGGGAATGCTGCTATTTGCAACAACATGCATGGAACCTGAGGACATTACGCTAACTGAAACTAGTCAGACAGAGAAAGACAAATACTATGTGATCTGATCTACACGTGGGTCCTAAAACAAAACCAACACAAATTCTGGTGGTGGCCAGAATCAGGGTTGGGGGAGCCAAGAATGGGTGACTGTGGTCAAACGGTACAAACTTCCACTTATTACATAAATAACTCCTGAGGATGTAATGTACTGTATCTTGACTACAGGTAATGACAAATAGTGTACCGTATCTTTGCCAGTTGACAAGGCAGAAGATCTTAAAAGTTCTCATCAGAAGACAAATAAAATTTGTGACTATGTGTGTTGATGGATGTTAACTAGATTTATTATGATCACTTTCCATTGTGTACAGATATCTAATCATCAGGTTGTACAAGTTATAACATTTATATCTCAATTAAAAAAATGCTAGTAAGTAACTCAATGAGCAACTCAACACATGGTGCTTCTACATACTGCCTGCAAGAGATTCACTTTAGGTCCAAAATACAAACAGGTAGAGAAAAACAGGCAGAAAAGGATATTCCATACAAAACGTACCAAAAGACAAATGGGATGGCTATACTAACATCAGGACATTGTTAAGGAGGCAGTATTACCAAAGTGATGTACAGATTCAATGCGTCCCTATCAAATTACCAGGGGTGTCTTTTTTACAAAAGTGCACAGATCCATTCTAAAGTGATATGGAATCTCAAGGGACTAGAAGAGCCAAATACTGAAACAAAAACACAAAACAACAAAACAAAACAAAACAAAACAAAACAAAACAAAACAAAACAAAACAAGAACACAGTTGAATGACTCACACCTCCTGACTTTAAAACTTAAAACAAAGCGACAATAATCAAAATGATGTGGTGTTGGGATGAAGACAAACATGAAGATTAATGAAAGAAAGAGCACAGAAATAATTTCTCAAACACATTTTCAAATGATTTTCCACAAAGGGTGCCGAGCCATTCGGAGGGCAAAAATCTGCCCCTGCAACAAAAGATGCTGAGGAACTAATACCCACACTAAACAAAAAAGAAGAAGAAGAAGAAACGGAAACAAGAATGAAGCTGGACATTTAACACCAAACGCAATAGTTAACTCAGAATAGCTGAAAGTTCAAGTAACATCAGGAAGAAGACAAGGATGGCCACTCTCACCACTTATCAATGATTAGTGTAACGCCCGGCCACAGAAATCAGACAAGAAAAAGACACGAGAGGCATCCACACTGGAAAAGAAGAAATTAAACTGTCACTGTTTGCAGATGACAGGTCCTATACATAGAAAATCCTAAAGACTCGACCCAAAAAATAAATAAGTAAATAGTATAAGTAATAAACTAATTAGGGAAAGTGGCAGGATACGAAATTAATACGCACATACCAGTAGTGAGTCTTTACGGTAATACGAAGTAGCAGAAAGAGAAATTAAGGAAGTAACCCCATTTACAATCTTACCCAAAAAATAACTAAGCAAATAACCCTGTGAATAAACTTAACCTTGCAGGGTAAAACATCTCTACTTGAAAAACTGTCAAGCACTGATGTAATAAATTGACGATGACACAAACTGAATGGAAAGACATTCCCAAAGACATTCCATATTCATGGACTGGAAGACATTCATGCTAAAATGCCCATATTGCCCAAAACAATCTACACATTGAGTGCAATCCCATCCAACTACCAACAGTAGCCCTCACAGAACTAAAACAAATAATACCCAAATTGGTAGGAAACCCCAAAAGACCCTGAGTAGACAGAAAAAAAAAAAATCCTAATAAATATTGATGTAGAAACAGGAGGCATCCCAATACCAGATTTCAGGATATAGTACAAGGCTGAAGTATTTAAAATATTTGGTACTGGCTCAAAACACACACACACACACACGCACGCACGCACGCATGCACACACACACGCACAGATGAATAGGACAGAACAGAAACCCCAGAAATAGACCCACAACTATACAGCCAACTAATCTTCCACAAAGCAGGAAAGAATATTCAGGGGGGAAAAGAAAAACAAATGGCTCTGGGAAATCTGCACAGCAACGTGCAGAAGGATGAACCTGGACCATTTTCTTCACCATACACAAAAATCAATTGAAACTGGGCTGAGTAAGTGTGAGACCTGAAAGCATAACACTCCTAACAAGAGGACCCAGGCAGAAATGTCTCTGACATCCGCCATAGCAACACTGCCTCGATGTCTCCTGAGGCAAGGAAAACATCAGCAAAACAAACTACGGACATAATGACAAAATACAAGCTTCTGCACAGCGAAGGAACAGGAGACAATCTACTGGATGGGAGAAGATGTGGGCAAATGACAGATCTGATAACGGGTTAATACCTGAAATATATAGAGAACTGATACAACTTGGGCGAACACAGCTTTCCTGAGGTCGACTCCTAGGAACACCCAGGAAATCGACCTGCAGAGTGTGTGTGGAGTGGCAGAACCATCTCCAGAGTCAGAGGGAGACAACCTGGGAGGTGCGAGGTGCGTGGAAGTGAACTGGGTGACAGAGAAATGGTGATGCCATGGAGGGAGGGAACCCTTTCCACAGAGAGACGAAACGAAGAGAAAAAGAGGGGCGCTGAGTTCGCAAAAGAGGAAACCCTCTCTGACCAGGGGACTGGGGGGCAAAAAATACACAAAAAGGGCCACAGGTGTTTCTTTGTTTGTTTGCTGTTTGTTTTGTTTTGTTTTGTTTTGTTTTGTTTTGTTTTTCAAACAGCATTTGGAACTCAAACGCAGGTTTTGGAAGGGTGTCACCTTCTCAGGAGCAGAGCTGTGGCTTCCTGGGGAAGAGAGAAATGGTCCCAGGGTACATAGCATGGTATAGAGGTACCCGGGGTGCATTGGGAGAGAACATTCCTCTTCCTGGAGTACTTTTGGAACAGGGTATATGACTATCTCCAGGACGAAAGACCCTGCCAAGCCCCAGCACAAAGCCGTCCGTCAGCAGGGGACAGAGGTGCATCCAGAGGGAATATAACTTTTGCCGCTTTTAGCAATGCTACACCATAGATTCCGCACACTGTGCAGGCGGGGGACTGATTATCAGGGGCAGGATTTCAGACAGTGTGGAGAGGCTCTAATCTACAGGAGGGAGTGGGGACCCATGTGAGACCAGGTCCATGAAGGCTTTGGGTTCTGAATCCCAGCCACACCCCCCCCCCAAAAAAAAAAACCCAAAAAAACAAAACAACAAAAAAAACCACACACACACAGAAGAGTTGTGGCACACTGTGAACAGACTGCCCTCGCTCTTCTGTTAGGACTATTTGAAGAGCAGGGAGTGGAAGATCCCCTGTCCATGAGGCAAGAGATTAGAGTGGTGCCATTGCCTGCCAGAACACAAACAGGGTCAGACTTTAGAGAGCAGCACAGCAGCCCCCAGCGGAGGAGGGACCCGCTTAATGCAAAGCCTGCTGCTCCCTGCCTGTCAACTGAGAGGCAAGACTGATGCTGAGCGAGGCAGCAGGCTGGTCTTCCAGAAGACCAGCACCGACCAGCACCCCACAAGCACCAAGTGTACTGAAAATCAAGTGTCCAAATGACACCCACAGTTCTGGTGGAAATAAGACCAGGCTTGCTTATTTATTTTATTTTACTTTTTTCATTTAAACTCAGGTTCATAGTCTCTTGTTTATTTTTCATTTATTTTTCGCGTTTTGGGTCAGGCTTTTTTTTTTTCTTTCTTCTCTTCACTTTCTCAGTCTTCTTTTGCCTTTTCTTATTGTACTGAAATATTGGGACAGTCATGTGAAAACAAATGATAAGCCATATCACATACACTTCGCATACAAGGCACTTAAGTTTACTCACCATATAGAAAACTCCTGTACAGGCCAATGGCAGGACGCCCCGAGATGGGCCACTTTGGCACAAAGATTATTTCCAGTTAAAAACAGTCACAACCGAATAGACTCAGCAAAAGTTTGTTGTTGCTTTT